TGGAGGAAACAGTAATGGGGGATATACACATCAATCATATGAGGGAGATTGGTAGACAGCGTCCCTGCCATGGTGGCAGAGGGGAAAATGGGGCAGACAGCTGCTGTCAACAGGGGTAGCATATAACCTGAAATGTGGGAGAGAACAGAGTAATGGCATAGTTTTCCTGAAGAATGGGTAAAGGAGAAAAGGAAGAATCCAGAAGATTGGGGGAGGCTGGCATGGCTCTTTAGATTTTTTTAGTTGATTAGACAGAGCAGTGGGAACCAGCCTTTTTTGCAAGTGCCCAAGTTAACCACTGTACCCTCTCCAAGTGCCACTCCAATCCCCTTCCTCTGCCTGATTTGCTGCCCTGCCCCTGTTCCCTACCATCTCCCCTATTACATACCACACAAAAAGGCTACCCATGCCACTTGTGGCATCCATGCGGTATGTTGACCACCCTAAGACATATAATTCAGAATTGCCACATTACTTACAGACAGAGACCAGATCTACACTACAAAGTTTTGGTGGTATCATCATATTAGAAAAGGCGCCAGTCACAGGGCTCAAGTGCCTATATACTAATACTAGGAGCATGTGGAGCAAGCAGGATGAACTAGCACTCCTGCTTGCAAAAACACCTACGACTTAGTAGGGCTAACAGAAACCTGGTGGGATTCTTCCCACGATTGGGCGGTACACATTGAGGGTTATAGGCTGTACAGAAAGGACAGTGTCATGGCGGGGTCCTCTAGGAGGGCAGTGATCTCCTTCAGACCCCTTTCTCCGTGCCAAGTCGGCCCAAGGGCACCCTCTGTTTCTTGCCCGCCACGTCTTTGATGTTAGATAAGGTTGAGAGGCTGCCTTATGTCTCCTTGGGCACGGTTAGTTGGGACCTCTGTCCCTGTGGTTTCCCAGACTCTCCAGGGGGTCTCCCTGTATGATGGGTGCTTCCCGGGCACCCTAGCCTTATGGGCTATGCGTGGCTCCAACCTCCCCTGATACCCAAGCCTCGCAGATGGGATGGATGTTGGTCTGTCTCTGTACATACACTGCCTGCCTCTCGGGCCCCCTCTGTAGACTTGCCCGCTCTCTGGGGGTCTTTGTGCCCACTCTGGGTCTTCTCTAGAATACTGCCCCTCTCTTGGGGCTCTCTCTCTAATGCTGCCCTTTTTCTAGGGCTCTCTATGCCCACTCTGGGCGTTCTCGGTAGTGTCGCCCCTCTCTGGGGCCTTCTCGGTAGTGTCGCCCCTCTGGGGCCTTCCCTATGAAGCCGCCCCTTTCCTGGGGACTTCTGTGCCCACTCTGGGACTTCCTGGTTGAGCCACCTGTCTCTCGGGCCCACCGCACTGCTACCCCCTTTCTCCAGGGCTCACCGCAC